GGATTTAATCCATTACCTTGGCAACGTGTGAGGGGATTAAAATTCCTTAAGGACGCACAAGAAAATTGTGGACTCGGAATATTTCTGATTCTTTACTATTTTATATATTTCATTATTCTTCTAACAGTTTCCTGAATTTTGTTTTAACTCAGTAACGTTCACAAGAAGTAGCAGGTAGTTCGAGTTTGTAAGCAACTGAGCCCACTTTCTCTAGAATTTTATAGGGACCATAGTATTTAGAGCTCAACTTGAGGTTTCTTCTAATATAAATAGAGGATTGTTTGTAGGGTTGCAGCTTTAGGAATACTATATCACCAACTTGAAATTCCCTTTCAGACCTCCTCTTATCAGCATATAACTTCATCCTTTCTTGAGCTTTGCTGAGATTATCCTGAAGCAATTGCTGCATTTATTGCCTTTTCATGACAACATCCTCAGCTGCAGGAACCATAGTCTCAATAGTAGGGCCAAGGGGCAGATGAGGTGGGTTGAACCCACACAATGCCTCAAAGGGAGAACACTGTAAACTAGTGTAGAAATTAGTGTTGTACCACCACTCTGCAAGAGGTAGCCACTGTTTCCACTGTATAGGTCGACTAGAAGTCATGCATCTCAAACAGTTTTCAATGCATTGGTTGACTCTTTCAGTTTGATCATCACTTTGAGGATGGTATGCAGTACTATAATGCAGCTGAGTACCCAAAAGCCTGAATAATGCTTGCCAAAAATTGCTAAGAAAAATCCTATCTCTGTCAGTAACTATTGATTCAGGGATGCCATGTAAGGTATGCACTTGCTTAAGGAACTAGTGAGCCACTGTGACTGCTGTAAATGGATGAGCAAGAGTCATAAAGTGAGCATACTTGGTTCTTCTATCGACAACCACTAGAATGACCTCTTTTCCTTTGGACTTGGGCAATCCTTCAATAAAATCCATGTTGATGTGCCTCCACGCTTGATCAGGTATAGGCAATGGTTGCAAGATTCCTGGATACTGTACATTCTCCCCTTTATTTCTCTGACAAACCTCACAAACTGCTATGTAGTTGATGATCATCTGCTTCATTCCTGGCCAAAAGAACACCTGGGATAACCTCTTGAGAGTCCCTAATTGTCCTGAATGACCACCAACAGGTGAATCATGAAAAGCAGAAATTAACTGTTGTCTCAAACCTCCACTGCTCCCAATATAGAGTTTGCCATTCTTCTTCAATATTCCAGCTGAATATTGATAGATGTGTGGTCCTTGTTGATTTGTAGTTGCTTCTGCAGTTATGGCCCCAACTTGGGCATCACCTTCATAGCTCTGACTGATCTCAAACATCCATTTGGGTTCTGTTGTACTGATAGCTAGTAGGTTGACTGCCTCTGGTTGATTGTGACTATTGCATTCTCGACCTTCAAATTGCCTAGATAAGGTATCTGCTACCCTGTTCTCAGCCCTTTTTTATACTGTACTTCATAATCCAACCCCCACAACTTGGTCAAACCTTTTTGTTGTATGGTTGTAGTTACCTTTTGTTACAAAAGATACTTGAGTGAGTGATGGTCTGTCCTCACAATAAAGTGTTTGTATTAAAGGTAGTGCCTCCACTTGTCAATAGCACTCAGAAGAGCCATATATATATTCCTTCTCATATATTGACCTCCCTCTATACTTAGGAGCCAAGACCTTGCTGAAATAAGCAATTGGTTTTCTTATATTCATAGATTTCAGGGCTAAGTCTAAGTAGACTAGGCTTAGAAGCAACCACTCCTCCCAGCCTTTGAACATGATACTCCAGTATTGGTACCAGATTTAGGCATAGCCACTCCAAACAGAATTTAAGAAAAACAAATGAAAATAACAATAATTTTTAGGACAATTTTCTGTATATTGATAAAACTAAAAAGGAATTACAATGAACTAAACTAACTACAAATTCAGAAAGTAATTGGGATCTCCATTGATAGTCGAATCTGCAGAAGAAGAAAGAAGAAGGATCAGAGAAGAAGAATGAAGTGCGAGAGAATTTAGGAGAAGAAGAATGAGAGAGAAGGTTGTTAGATTACCGAAAATTTTAGCATGTCTCTCTCCTCGTCAATTTTGTTACATATACTAGGCTGGCTTGATCTCAATCATTGATCCTCATTAAAAATAAATGGATCTTGGCCTTTCATTATTTTTTTGGTTATTACTATTCACTCCGTGTGATTTCCCAAAAGATCATTACTTGCTCTTAAATTGAATTTTGTGTTCTAAGGCCTTGAAAACTTTATTTAGCATTACCTTGATTTGCGTGCGCAGTCCGAGCGCGTAACCGGAAAGCCTATGTATGAAAATATGTGAAAAATGATAAGTTTTTGATTATAAAATGAGCTAATTTGACTTCGGTCAATATTTTGGATAAATCGACCCGGACCCGTAATTTGACGGTTCCGGAGGGTCCGTAGGAAAATATGGGACTTGGGCGTATGCCCGGAATCGAATTCCGAGGTCCCAAACTCGAGAAATAAATTTTTAAAGAAAATTATTTTCTGAAATTTTTTGAAGGAATTTGAAATGAAATTGGATTAGAACATGATGGTATCGGGCCCGTATTTTGATTCCGGTGCCCGGTACAGGTCTTACATATGATTTAAGATAATTCTGTGGAATTTGGTGAAAAACGGATGTCATTTAACGTGATTCGGACTTAAATTACAAAAATTGATGTTTTAAGAGTTTGAGAAAAATTCTTTGATTTTGAGGTTTAATTCGTTGTTATTGAGGTTATTTGGCGATTTGATCGCACGGATAAGTTCATATGATGTCATCGAGTTAGTACGTATATTTGGTAAGGAGCCCCGAGGGCTCAGGTGTGTTTCAGAAGGTTTTGGACTTAAGAAAAGTTGCAGGTTTTCAGCTGTTGATTTTCTGATATGCCCTTCTTCGCGTTCGCGGGAGGACCCTCGCGAACGCGATGTATTAATTTTTGCTGAAGGAGATTCCTTCTATGCGAACGCGTAACCCAGGTCGCGAACGCGAAGCCTTGGTGGGCCTTCCCTTCGCGAACGCGGTCCTGGCCACGCGAATGTGAAGGCTAATTGAGCCTGGGTGGGGTGAGGCATTTGACCTACGCGCACGCGATCATTTGCACGCGAACGCGAGGCTTGAGGAGTTTTTTCTCTGTGAACGCGAGCCATTTTCCGCGAACGCGAAGGCCTAGCAGGCATAACCCATCGTGAACGCGAGTGACCTATCGCGAACGCGATGAATATTTTCGCCCAGTTATTTTAAAAGACCAGAAACAATAGCATTACGGGATTTTCACAAAAACTCATAACTTCTTCATCTAAACACCAAATTGGGCAATTTTTGAAAGAGGATTTCACCACCAATTCATAGGTATGTAATCTTAGACTCATTTTCTTCAATTTTCATTAACACCCATTAGATTTCTAAGCTTAAATCATATGATTAAGGGTAGAAAACTAGGGATTTGGGTAGAGTTAGGACTTTTTGATTATTTGGGAATTTGACCTCGTTTTTGGGTCAGATTTCAAAACAAATTGTATATTCGGGCTCATGGGTGAATGAGTGATCGAGTTTTGGTCTGAACCTCGTATTTTGATCAAGCAGGCTCGGGGTCGATTTTTGAATTTTGGGAAGAATGATTAGAAAGCTATAATTAAGTGTTGGAATTGGATTGTTTAGCATTTATTGATGTTATTAAGTCGATTATGTATAGATACAATTGATTTGGAGCCAAATTCGGAAAGGAAAGGCGGTGTTTGAGGCTTGAGTTGGCCGTGAAAGTTCGAGGTAAGTGTTTGGTCTAACCTTAGCTTGATGGATTAGGAGTTGTGTCCTATTTGCTAATTGCTTCTTGTTGAGTACGACGTATAGGCATGGTGACGAGTATCTATACGTTGGTGTTGAGCATGACCGTGAGACGTAAATTGATATTTGTTGTGTTGTTAAATGATTCTACGGATGCTTAATTGGTGATTCCCGATATTGAGCAAGGATTTAGTTTGTTTTCGTGGAAATTACTGATGATTTAGTATTGGTGTTAATTGAGATGAGTAGGAGTTGAGTTAAGATTGGTTATAGCTGATTCTCCCTTGCCGGGACTCGTGGTACGGTTGAGTTTAAGGTATATAAATATATTGGATCGGGTTGCACGCCGCAACAATGTTATATATATTGGATCGGGTTGCACGCCGTAACAATGTTATATATATTGGATCGGGTTGCGCTGCAACAATGTTATATATATTGGGTCGGGTTGCGCGCCGCAACAGTGTTATTATTACTTGTTGTAGATTTTGAGTTATTTCTCTCATTTTTCTCTTTATTTCTGCTGGATTTGATGTGTCCTCCCGAAGCATGCACCCCCTCTCATTTAAACTGCTTTTGCCTGTTTATTTTCCGCTGTATATTACATAATTGCACAGGTTTTATCTGAAGTCCTCGTCACTACCTCGCCGGAGTTAGGCCACCAACACATGGGGTCGGTTGTGCTGATGCTATACTCTGCTGTGCTGATATCAGAGCAGCACCGGGACAGTAGCAGTTGGGGAGCCAGCCTTCAGTCCACAGAGATCCCGAGGTAGTCCTGCAGGCGCCCGACGTCTCTTCTATCTACTTATCTGTTCTGTTTTCATTGTATCCGAGACAGACTGTATTTCTTTTCTTCAGACATCTGTATGTAGTATTCATAGACAGTCCGTGAATATTGTGACATCGATTTTTGGGTAGAGACGCATGTTGGCATTTCCATATTTATTTTGAGTATTATATTAGTCTAAGTCTTCCGCTTAATTTCATCTTCCGCTATTATTTAAATGTTGATCACCTGTTATTACAAGTTGTTAAAAAGGATTAAAACGAAAGAGTTAAAGTTTCTAAATTTCGTGGCTTGCCTAGCTTTTACGAGTAGGCGCCATCACGACTACCGAGGGTGGAAATCGGGGTCGTGACACTCCCTCTACTTCTATCTTTTGAAATTAACCCCAACGGTCTTGACAAATAGCAATTACACAACTTCCACCATTCACAGAATAAATTCAGCTGCTTTGAGCTGTCTGGCAAAATTTCTGGCAAATTCATGTGCAGACATAGTTGTCTATCCCGATATGAAAATAAGTAACCATAATAAAAAGAGTTACTGTACAAACCAACGTAGTTCTTTTCTATACAAAATGTGCAAAAAAATATCATAAGAACAATGCTCTTTAAGAAAATCAAGGCAAGGCCAATGTATCCTTTCAGCTTGCTTCTTGTCATTGCAAGGCTGTTCATTATCTGCATAATAAATTAGTCTATAAAAAACTGGGAAAAGACAGAGAAGACGTATATCCGTGAACATCCAAAATATACAGAAACTAACTAATAAATTTGTCTCTACGACAAAATTAATACCATAATGTCACAAATGCTCACATGCATGTACAAAAGAAATTAACAGTAGAAGATGCACCAAAAAATAAAATCTCATGGTAGTTAGCTACTCTATAACCACAGTGAAAGTGACCATAATGCCGGATCTTATGAACGTTGAACCAAATATTCAAAAGAGAATGTGCATAAGCAGTATCAAATAATTTCTTCAAGTTTAGTCGTACTTTGTTGTAATTAATCACCATAAAGTTATTATTCCCATCACAACTTACAAGTATCTTATATTTCTGTTTGTATCCCTCATATAATATTCCCCTTTGATCAAAGGGGTTAAGAGATTTTAATAGGGGTAAATTGAAATGAATATTCTGGCAGGAAAGAAGTATTGTACTCGAGTTAATAAAGTGAAAGATCAAAATTCATGCTTCTGGTTCTCAAGTTATTATGGTAAGACTCCTAATAGTTATCAGCAACTTTCAGCTCCTTAAGATATGTTGAATATCATAACTTATTTTAATTGATGATCCTCTTCCCAGATGGTTTTTATGCTTAATAGTGCATAGGACAGTCAAAGATTATGAGCAAGTAGTATTTGTTAATACCCTGAGCAAAAAACATGCCCTTTTATAGAGTAAGAGGCATTAGCCCACATCTGAAAATAACATATGCTATCAGTATACTCACTTTGAGCTTATAAACTCTTAGCAAGTAAAGGAAATAATAGGGGAAGAAGTTGTTCATGCTTATTTAAACCAGAATATTAAGAGAACATAAAAGAAGTATGTAACCATTAATTTTAAGAAGTTCTTTCAGGCTTTTTAAAACCATAATCTGAGAAAAAAATGCTTCACATATAACGTTCGACTCATTTTAATATTTCCCAAGAGATTCTTATTCTCCCTTTATTCTTCATTTGTGCTAATAGATATCATAACAGAAAATGTGCCACAGATCGAGCTAACCAAGAAACATGTATGTCCCAACAGTCAAAAGATCCTAGGGCAGTTTACTAAGGCAATACTACATGCACTAATCTTGTTATCACTAAGATATTTTCTGTACCTTTGCAGACTGGGAAAAATGAATCTCCCAATATGCATAGACCAACCAGTGAAACAATCTTTATGTGTGAAGAGGCAGTAAATAATTGGATGTTGCAGCTGAGAGAGCAGTGCAATTGTTTTCTAATTTTGCAAATCAGCATCCCAAAATAAAGAGTTCAAGGGAGCATGAAAATTAGTCATTAGCCAAAGTAGCTGAAATGCTTGTGCTACAATTAAAAGTGTGAAATCAAAACTCTTACTATATCAACTCAAATAATAAGATAGGTAAAAGAATAATATGATAGGAAGAGCCAGCTTTATTCGAGAACCTTCCAGGGAATTCTACATACAGTCATAATGCACTTAAATGGCCACAACCTTTCATGGTTCGAAAGTAAAGTAGGCTAAACCAAAAGATTAAAGCAGAACCAAGAACATAACATCAGAAAGCCGATAAAAGTAATAGGAATGTACCAATCCATGAACATCAAGGTTGCTGGTATCTGTATTGGTGCTCTAGAATTTCCCTCGACTTTACATTTCCTAAATACATGAGTCAAATCGAGTGATCTCCATCATGACCAAACATCTTGCATGTAAATGTCAGTTGCACCAACTTTATTATTAGTAGAACTCTTACTCGAAAAAAAATAGTGAAGAAAAGCAATGAGAACTATTACTCTCAATTGTAATGCAGTATGATGAAAAATAAAATTAAGAATATATGCCAAATAGCACAATGGTAGCTTGAAAGCAGAATCATGTAGCTTAAAGCTCATATTAGCTGAAATCTTTTAGTTTTGAAAATATTATAAGAGTTGCTTGTACTAATCTTCTATTTAACAAATATAGCGGTTTAATTCTTTTAATATATAAGCACTAAACCAAATTCAGTTTTTTTGCAAACATGTGCCTATTTTGACGCATGGTAAATAACACACAATATTGTGATCTCAAGAGTAAATCAAAGGACCTTCATTCTAGACGCCAGGAAAGACCAAGGACCTCATAGTTCTTCCATAATTTAGTAGAAGTAATGCTCTTGTCGAGTAATGTAAGTACAGATTAAGTATCACAATATTCCTCTTATTGGTCCGATGAGAATGACTGACCTTCGAGCTTTAAAATTTAACCTTTGATTCAATGTTGTAGGACAAAAACCTTCGGGTATACCAGCTTTTCCATATAAAAGAGGAGGCTTTCCAGACTTTTTACTCTTTCATATCGACTTCCCAAGATTTCACAACCCGAGTACCCGTGTCACTTAAAGATTAGAATTCTTAAACATCTCAGGGAATGATTATATTCTCTAGTTCTTCCTCCTATTTAGATAAAAGCTTCTCCCTAGTAACTGCTTAGTTTTCTTAATGTTTTCCTTCCAAGATTTAGCTAAACCTACAGAAAGTGGATGGAAGGTCCCACCACAGTAAATGATACAAAAAGGTATCTTTTTTTTGGTAAATTCTAATGGCCAGGATATAAGTAATGATCCCAGTAACCCGGAGGTTAGCCATAATTGAGGATTTTTTTAGGTCGTGGGTATAATGAGAAAATTATTATTTGCAAATGTAAAACTATAACAATATTTGGAGTAATAAGCATGGACCATGTTCTAACTTCATAAAGACATACAAAGAAAATAGAAATACAAAGAACCAAACTCAACGGAGTTGTTGTCAGCCCTGGCGAATGAGTAGTTTGAAGGTTCTCTTCTCTTCTTCAATAAATAAATTTCTATTATTATTCTCTTCTGCGATCCTCTTAATAATAAGATAACAAATATATATGTTTAACAAAAAATCTGAGTCTTTGGTCAAAGCTTAGAAATATAGAGAAATTCGGGTTACTGATAATCTGGAGACGAAAATAATAAAAGACTTTTGAGAATAATAAAGTAATAAGTAATTTTGTATTTCAGTGTAATATCAATAATATTTCTTGTCCTTACAGATGTTGAGTCCTTCTCCTTTTATAGTTGATTCTAGGAGAAGATGTAATGCCTTTGTCTTAATGAGGCAATTATGAGCAATAAATGACATTAAAAGAAACGTTACACAATCATTTCTATTTAATTTAGATTCTCTAACGTATTTGATATCTAATGTTGTATTTAGACTCTTTTACGTCATCAGATTCGTATCTTCAACTTCTTCCGATCTTCGGTCTTTAAATGACTCGAATAGGTACGAGACTCGTACCTATTTGAGTAACGGTCCACACCTATGTTGTTTTCTTCTCCTCATATCTGTTGTCTCCCGTGCCTCTTGGCTATTTATTGCGTTTTGACCTTTTGACCAGTCCATGTGTCATGACACGTCATCTTCAATATTTAGATTCAGTTTTTTCCAATACAGATAGTCCCCCACTTTCCATTTATTTATCAATTAAATATTTGGGAAGTGGATCTTCACGAAAAAGGAATTTTCGCCGTAATCAATGCTATGTCAGTACTGACGCTTCAGTTGTCTTTTCTATTTAATGCTCTGCACACGTGTCACCTTCTGATATGTATGTAATTCTACAGCCTTTTTCCAAGGCTTCTTCATCCCCTCTATTTACGAAGTGATAGTTGCCTTTATTATACGCTTTCCATCATTACGCTTCTTTGTTTGACGGTTGCTATTATACACATATTTAACCTTTTTTCCTTTGTCTTCTTCTTCATAAACCCTTAACAGATACTTTACCCTTTACTTTTGTTCCTTTCTCCTTTATTTCATCCTTCCTCTGCAATAGCATCTCCGAATCCTAACCCTAAGAGAATCCCAATTCTTGATAGCTTCCCTAACACCCTTGTAAGACATAGAAGGGGTAGAGGGGGCAGGCTTTGTAGTCCCTTCGTGGTGGTTCCTCTGGTTCCATCACTCCTTTTTCTAGTTTTAGCACTATTTCTAAAGGTTCTATCACTAAGAAATCCTCTTCTAAAGGTAAAGAACTTTCTGAGCCTCTTCAAGAGCCTTTAGTTGAGGAAATAGTACCCAATGACTTGTCCTTTGAGAATGATAGGAAATCTCTTCGTGATCAAGTTGTTAATTTAGATAAAGCTGACACTTTTCCTTCTCTAATCACTGAACCTTTGATTTCTATTGTTCGAAAAGATTGCAACTGGAAAAGTGATCTTCGTATAGTGATCCCTAAACCAAACCAAAGAATATTTTCTTTTAGGATTGGATTTTCTTTTGTTTATACTTATCCCTTCACTTTGGGATTTATTCCTGCTATTGACCCAGTTATACTTGATTTCTGTCGCTTTTTCAAAATTTATTTGGGACAAATCGGCCCCCTTGTATGGAGAGCAGTGGCTTGTTTGAGATATTTATCTGTAAAAGCTAATGTTAGCTTTACCTTTCCCCACCTTATTCATCGTTACCACCCCAAATTATTCCGCCATGGGTTTTTTACTTTAACTGCAAGAAGTAAAAGGATCTTGGTAAGCCCTGAAGATGACAATGATCGTGGGTGGTACACTCGTTATGTTGCTGTTCGCACAGTTGATTTGGTGGGTGAAACAAATATCCCCTTCCCTGAGAAGTGGAACTTTGCACGTAAGTTTTTTTTTTTGCTTACCGTACCTATCTTTAAGAATATCAATTTCTTTTCTAATTTCGTCTCTTTTTGCTTTTCTATAGCAACTATGGGAGATGTGGAACCCGTTCCTAATTTTCGTGGTTGGGTAGATTCAATCTTGAAAGCCGTGCCTATGGAGGCAAGAACTTGGAAATCCATTTCCAATTTACATGGTTGGAAAGTGAAAACTCACGGTATGCATCTCTTTATGCTTTTTTGTATGTTAAATCCCTTCTAACTTTTTTCATCCTTCTTTTTGTCAGGATTTGCTATTCGAGGAATGACAGCTGAAGTAGCTATTGCCCTTCGAGCCTCTTCTGGTACTTCACTCTCTTTGGAGAGAACTCAAGCTACGCTATCAAAGAGGAAAGTTGTAGAAGAGGATTCTGAGAATGATGAAGATGAAGACACCTCTTTAATAGCTAGACCAAGAGTTAGGAGACGCATCGTTTCCGAGGATGAAGCTGAAGTTACCCCTGTCCGTGCCTCTCTTACCGAACCTGTTCGCATTCCTTCTGATGATGAAACCACTCCGAGGGACACCAATGAGTCTATTCAACGCCTCTTTGTTGGTGGTTTTGAAAGTGGAGAACTAGGTCCAGTTTTAGATGAAGTTCCTTTTTCTTCCTCTGTTCCCATTCCTTCTATTCCTCCGTTGGTTTCAAGTGCTTCCTTGCCCATTCTATCTGTTCCTGCTCCCTTATCTATTTCTGCTCCCTTGCCTGTCTCTGCTTCCTTACCTGCTTCGAGTCCTTTGACTCCTGTTATTTTCACTTCTTCTACCGCTCCTCCTTCTATAGCTCCCCCTCCCTCTGTTCAACATGCAGAGGAGGGTTCCAGTAGCAGAAGCTTGGCTATGAGGAGCGTTACACTTGAAGTTCCTGCTAATAACAGTCTTTTAAGGAAGTCTGGTGGAGCAGATGCCTGGCTTAGGCCTTTGATTGGAGATATTGAGAAGAAGAAGATGAGCAGTCACAGTTGCTTAACTCTGATGAATGACATAGTTCATTCTACTTTAAAGGTATTTTTTTTCTTCTGCTTACTAACAAGCTTTTTTTTTATCTCTAAATTCTTATTTCTATGAGTTGTCACTGTAGGCTAACCTCATTGGTACAGAATTGATGGGAAGAATTTCCCTTCTGGAAAAGAAAACTCGTGAGTCTGAAAAGTCTATCCACGAGGCTGAGGAAATAGCCAAGAGAGCCCAGCTAGAAGCAAATAATTAGAAAGAGCAGTTTGAGAATGCGGGAACCATAGAAGAATTGCTAGATAGTAGAAATCACCTGGAGCAGCAAAAGCGAAGTCTGACTTCTGAGCTAGCAGTTGCCAAAGCT